TGCAATTCTTTCCCATTTAACCGACTCTCTATCTCCAGTAGTTTCCGAAATACCAATAGAGAACATCGTAGGAAACTCACCCTGTATGTACATTAAACTTGATTGAAAATACTTTGGGATAACAGAATTCTCAACATGTTAACATAAAATTTATTTTTCACTTTGGTTGAAAATGGCTGAAGGGTCCAGGGGAAAATCTTGATACAGCGCCAATTTCTTAATTTTAGGATTTTACAATACCTATTATTATAGTAGGTCTAACTGGTCCGCTGGTCCCTACAAATTGTATAAACTCGGCAGGGCAATAAGTTGTTAAATTCTATGATATAATGATATATGCCTAGTAAAAATATAGAATACATGAAAAGAACCTCCTGTAAAATTAGTAAAAGGGCGCTTATCATGTTGTTCCCCTGGACCTTTCAACTGTAAGTATTAGTGCTTTAGAAATAAATATAGTGAGTTTTTCTATTATCATTAATTAAAATTTATTTTCGTAATTTCTTATGAAGAAAATTTAAACTATTGTCAGTTTATAAAGATACAGATATATATATAGAATTTGCTACGATATATCGTCAAGAAATTTTAGGTGAGTGAATCTGCGGCACTAAACATTTTTCTTAAATTCACCGAAAAATGTTGAAAAAATCTCCTGGGTATATTTTTGAGATCGAAATATACTACTGGTTGAAATGCTTGAATTTATTTATGAGACACCTGATATAAACCTAACAGTTTATCATATTTGTAATCGAACTGAAATGAAATACAAAATATATGAGAATTTGTTTTTATTCAAATAGATTTCACTTATGAACAACTAATTCGAAATGTGTACTGCTCAATCTGTGTAAAAACTACATAAAAAATTGTTTATGTTGCGAAGGCCTAAATTTAACATCATTTCTTATGTACACTTAAACGTAAACCTTAAAACTGCCAGAACTTAATTCTACAGTATTAAAAATAAATAATAAACGCTTACAACATTACAGTAATAATTAAAAAGCTACTTACAAAAAAGTGACGTAGAAACCAACGAATTTTCTATTAAAACTACCACAAAGTAGATTTTAATAGAAAAAAATCAACCACAGTTAATGTACAAATAATATTTTTTTAATAATAATAATTTTTATCATACAGAAACTGCTTAAATTGTCCCCCTAATTTTTAGGAAAAAATATAAATAATATATTTACAGACATTGTTAAAACATTATGATGTATATTGCTAATGATTAAATTAATAAGTTTTTAAATTGAGTTTCTTTTTAGTTATAAACAAAATAAATATATTCACTAACTTTATTGTTATTACTTATTCATGGCATTCTGTAGAAGCTATTAGTTTCAAATTTACAAAACTTGCCAATTATGTATTGTTTGTTTTTATTATAAATTTAATACTTGCTACTCTGCAACAGTTTCACGAAAGAAAAATTTGAAATTGAACCCAAAAAAATGGCCTACATTTAATTTGTGAGATAGTATCGATATAAGTTTTATATATTTTATTATCTTCTACCTATAATATAATAACTCCATGCAGATAAGATAATAGATATATGTTTAATATTCTTTTATATAATATTATGGCAGGATCTATCAGAAACACATATGGTACGCTCTATATTCTAGAGAATACATATGTTTTATTTAGGTTATTTTACATTTTATAATGGCAGTAAAGTTGGTTCGTGAGTTGATATTGTTTGAAAACAGTTTAATTTTTTTCAAATATCTTACAAAAGAATTATATTTAAGGTTATATATTATTGCTTTTGTTGGGTTGAATAATAATATTGGGGAAAAAAACTGCAAAATTAGAATACACGGTGACAACAATAAGTGACTCAATATATTTTGCCTTTTTTTGGTATATATCGCCCAGAAAAAATTATCATCATTTGACATTTTAAAGGCTATTGTGATACCGTTTTTTTTTCATCCTATGGTAGTTCTTTTTTGTTTATATTGCATAACTTTGAGTTACTCAAAGAATCCTAAGAAGTAAAGTAAAAAACTATCAATATGAATGACACATAGCCTTTCTCGCGAATAAATATACAGGGTCGCTTTTATGTATGGAAACGATCGATTTTATTAGGTAAAATATAGGAGGTACCGCAAAAAGTTAAACATAAAAGTTATAGGGTTTATAAATATTTCTTAGCGGGTAATAAATTTAAGTATACAGGGTCGGTCAAAAAGTCGTGGCACATCAAAGTTTCATTTTTTTAAATGGAACCCCCTATATATTATTGCATATTTCGTTTCTTCCTTCAATTCTAAGCAAAAATCAAAATACACACAATGTACCTCATACCAACCGTTTCCGAGATATTGACTTTTGAAAATATCACTTAAACAATTTGATTTAATTAATTTCGATATGTCCGGTTTCATTTAACGATGCCATTTTGCCGAAACTGTGATACTTAATAATATTTGACATTAGTTCTCAAGTTAGCATTTATAGATGTATAAAATGAGAGTATATACTTGTTTTCACCTAAAACTTCCCAATATGACGGACTTCAGTATGGGAGGCTTAAAAAACGAAAATCTCTAGACTGGAATCGACTGTAGTTCAAATCGTTCAAATTTCTAATCTGTGGTAAATCTAATTGAACTCTGACACTTGGCTGACGTTTACGGTTCCTTTTTCTAAATATTTTCATTATTTTTTGAGTTTTTATTCACAAATTCTACTTGATTTTGTTCTTTTATTTAACCTGCAGCCTGCAGTACTAATTATATACTTATAATAATCTTTTCACCGACCAAGAACTGAGGAATAGGCTGGAAGATATTCAAAAAATGTGTAAAACGCTTAAAACGTATTAGAAAACATTATATACTCGTTCACAAATTCGTGAAAATAAATTAATCCAGATGTTTGTAAAAAGGTCTATAATTATTTTGAGAAGTTCCTCGTATCAGTAATTTTCAGGTTTGTAATATGTATATGATAATACATAGATTAAAACTTGAGTTATAGTAGAGAAGACCTAAATAAGGTAATGTTGGTAATAGGACCAAAGATCAAATAACACTTGAAATATATAATATGTACAATTGTAAGTAGTTTTTATGAATCTGTTTGTTATCTATTGCTTTGTTTTTAATTTCTTGAAATATATATTTTTTTCTTTACAGGATACACAAACAATAATAAAAAATACAGTTACTCACTAAAAGTACTTAAGGTTTGTAATAGATGTAGTTAGAATATCAAACACCAAACCAAACCAAAAATTATGTTTTATTTTACTGGTATTCCTCACATTTGAAAGGAAAGTAATTTCATAAATAAGCATAAGGACATCGTATAGTACACTCTATATTAATAAATCTTTTTTATCCTATACTTGTTAGTTGACGCATCACTAGGTATAACATTTAGTACTGATTCCAAACCTATAGTTGTGGTTGTGACATATTCTGATGTGTTTCTGGCAATTTAAAATAATTTAATATTTAAACAAACATTTCTAGCTTTCCTGACAGGAGTGTGAACATTGAACAAATATTTAATAAAGGTATAATGTGGATAATGTTCTGATTATTACAGTTTGCATGGATGACTGTTTTTGTATGTTGTTATTTTTAATAAAGTATATTTAATGAGTTTTTCAGTATTTCTTTTTCATTCAGAGGATTGTGTTCTAATCTTGTTCTAATCTATATATAAATTTTCATAAATTATATCTACACAATTTATTACCTTATAACTTTTTGCTAAAGACTTTGTAGTTGATACAGTTTAGCAGTATATAAAAGAACTATTTAAATAAGATATTTGAAAATATATAGCGGTTTTTGCACACATCAATTCAATTTGTGATTAACTGCACTGAAATAAAAACAAATTAAGAGAAATGGGGTGATCTATTAACTATAACATGAAACGCATCATCCTATTTCAAAGTCTTCTATTAATTTCACTTATTAAACAACTATAATTATTCAATAATCTTGATAATTCTAGGAACTCTAAGATATCGTCAAAACATGAAAACAAAAATTCACTTCCTATAGTTCTTACGTCCCTTTAACTGAAATATAAGAAACAGGGGAGTTAATATTCTATCTGAGAAAGTTTATAAAATACCTTTAAGTAAAATCTGTTCGGATCTGCGGTAAAATACCTTTATTCTTATTAAATAATTTCAATAATCTATGTTTTTATTTATGATTTATGACAACCACCTAATAACCTAACTTTAACGTCAACTTGACAATTTTATGTTGACAATACTGAAAAATGTTATTGTTAACCAAAGAGTAAATAAATTCTGAATACGCTAACGGCCAACTTATTTTTCATTAAAAAAAATTACCAATTTTCGTAACTATATAGGTCGGCCATATTGAGGAACTTTTAAAAGAATTGTACTATAGCAAGTCTGGAAATTACGAAATTTTCGTTCAACATTTCAGTTCTTCAATTTATGTACATTATGTATTACGATTATTGTTTAAAATTGAAGTAAGAATTGAAATATGCAATAATATACAGGGGGTTTCATTTAAAAAAAATAAAGTTTGATGTGACACAACTTTATGACCGACCCTGTATACTTAAATTTACTAGTAGCTAATAGGAATTTAAAAACCCATTACAACAGTATCACAGTTTCGGCAAAATGGCATCATTAAAACAAATCAAACACATCGAAATTAATTAAATCGAATTGTTTAAGTGATATTTTCAAAAGTCAATAACTCGGAAACGGTTGCTTTGAGGTACATTGTGTGTATTTCGATATTTCCTTAGAATGGAAGGAAGAATTGAAATATGCAATAATATATAGGGAGTTCCTTTAAAAGAATGAAACTTTGATGTGCTACGACTTTATAACCGACCCTGTATACTTAAATTTATTACCCGCTAATAGAGTTAATAAACCCTATAACTTTTATATTTAACTTTTTGCCGTACCTTCTATATTTTACCTAATAATCGACCGTTTCTATACATAAAAGCGACCCTGTATAATACAGTTGTCTGTAATTTTAATTTAAAAGTAGATTGTATTTCCGTCATTTTTTTGGATGTCGTCTGTCGAAAATATATATTGTTTCGCTGGGCATATATAGCTAGGAAGAAAATATTATTGTTGTCGCCTATAAAAATCGAGATATTTGTATTAATGATCAAAAATCAAAATATAATACTGACTTGTGATAGTTTTAAGTATTTTTAGTTTCGTTATTTAAAACCTTATCTTTGTAGATTTCAGAGCTTATATTAAAATCAGTGTAGAAAACACTACGGCTAATATTATTGAATGATGTGTCTGTGTAAGTAATCTTGAATAATATGCTGATACTATGATCTACTTCTTTTCCTACGGTTCAAGTTTATGTTTAGGCCATGCACGAAAATGTGAAACGATAATTGACAGAGAGATTTAGAATAATACACTGCACCTACAACATGTGAATGGTATATTTTTAAAATTCGATATTAATAGTTGTTTGGTCGTTTTTTATGCACTTATTGGCTATGCAGCCGACCTTGCTTGATCTTTGGCTGGCTGGTTCTTGAAGATACTCCTTTAGGTACTGCTCCAACTATTCTAACCTGTAACAAAATATACATTTTCAATAAAAGAATTAAAAATTCCCAAAGAAATAAGTAAACTTAGAGGAGGTCCAAAGTACTTGTTAAGGTTATAACTGTGTTTACAAAATTCCATGTATACTCTGTTTTTTTTTCTCAGGTAAGATTTCGACAGACGACGACAGAAAAAAAGCAGATGACCAAACCATACCAATCTATTTAAGCTTCATTCAGAATCTCCCAATTAGTGGAATAAATTAGTGGTTTCAATTACACTTTATACTTTTAGTTTACGATCATTCACAATGTCTAAAAATCACAATTAAAATTAATAAAATATCCTAGCAACAGCTTGTGGTAATCTGTTGTATTCACAGAGAAAGCATAATATTTAGATTATAAAACAATAAACTTTTGATTTCTAACCAAAATTTTTCTTGACAGATGATAATCAAAGGCCAAAATGACATTCCTCGCAAATTTTGAAGTATAATTAGTGGAAAAGTCAAAAGTTTGTTAACTTTTTCGACTAATTGAAAATTACTACCATTAATTATGACGTTCTGAATGCTTACATTAAAAATAGGTGAACAAACTTCTACGCTAATTGAAACTACTAATTTATTCCATTAATTGCGAAGTTCTGAATGTAACTTTATTTTACTAAAAAAAGAGTTTCTAATATTTTTTAAGTTAACTATAATGGATGGGTTTAAATATAAATCCGTCACGCGTCGTCTCTTGTTGTTTATAACCAGTTTTATTGGTTTATTTCAGAAATGACAGATCATATTTCAATTTTATTGGTTTGACGAAACGATGAACGACAAACGGACGCCGGCGCCGATGCGTATAAACTCCCTTTAGATTGTTGAGGCTTGTCAAAGTCTTGCCAAATTATAGGTTAGAATTTTGTGTCAACTTATGTGAAATACCCTGCGTTTTGGAAAATGATGCATTCTGATTCGTGTTATTACGTGTGTTTAGTGTTTTTTGAAGTCAAGTGGAGGAAAAATCGAGGGAAAATTAACTGTAGACCCAGAGCACAGTTTATAGTTATTACTCGCTGCCCAAGCAGAAAGTCTTATACACCAATAAAGTTACCATCAATAAAGTTTGTAGACTATTTCGTCGTAGATAAGTGCATCTCGTATATAGTACAAGGATCGTACTAAACATATATTAAAAACTGGAGTAGCTGTAAAGTATCGACATCAGACGATAGGTAAATAATGAATTTTAGTACTGCAGAGAAATAATGTCAAAAGGTAGTGGTTTAAAAAAATTAATATTAAAGTTAATTAATCAACCTTTATGATATAAAATTTGGTAAGTGTTTTAATAAAATAGTTTGTTTTATTTATGTTGTTTTATTTATTCCTGTGGAATACTACAAATTTGTATTTTTATATTGATTCTTGAGGCTTGAAAGTAAGAAATAGTTCTTTTTCATATTTGTTTTTATATGTGGTGTCTTGTTCTTGTTTGTTTTGTATTAACACATATCGTTTTTTTAAATAAAATAACTCGATTACATTTTTTCAGTTTTATACAGTTTTTTTTTCACAATATTTTGAAAAAATCACTTTATTTTTTATTTTAAATATATGTATAAAGGAATATATTAATTTCCTGCTATGCGTTCCAATTGTACCTACTTATTTCTTTGTAAAATAAACTACTTTGAAATTAAAATACATAGTCGTTTTATGTCCACGGAATATTGGGACATCCTGTATATATTCGCAGGAGCGACAAATACAATCTACTACACCTTATCATCACAGGTAAAATTGAAGGGAAGTGAGGTCCAGACAGATGTCGTGGATGAGAAACATAAAGAATTGGATAGGAATGAATGTTCAAACACTGGTCAGAACAACAGAAGGACGAGAAGAATTCACTGTGATTATTGTCAATCTTCGTTGAGAAGACGCACCTGAGGAAGAAGAAGTATACTACTGTCAAACTTACTCTAGTAACTTGTCGGTTATCACTGAATTGAGGAGGAGGAGCTACGACAAGTTCTTCGCTAGAAAGCAAACTGGATTGGTTGCCGTTGAATTCGGGTGGGGGTGGCAAGCAGAATTCTTCTTTTTCATCTTCATTTTCAATGGGCGGAGGTAGCTGGGCCAATGACACTGCATGTCTTTTTAGAAGACCTTCAAAAAAGAAGAAGAAAGTATTATTAGTGATGTAGAAATGAAATAAAAGATTAGATAGTAACTTACTGGCTTGTGGCCTTTGTAATTTTGCCGACGACACAGATTTCGAATCGTAATCATGGCTTGACACGTTCGTTATTTCCTGATCCGAACTGACACCCGACGAACTGTTGTCTCCATCTTCAACAGCATCGATTTTGTCCGCACCTTCGTTCTGTTTGTTGAAGAAATCGTCAGGATAGGACTTTGACGATTTTAACTGCAATCGGGTCTTCTGAATCTCTTCCACGCTAAAACTGTGAGCGACTGAGGTACTACTTGAGCTGCTTCCACTGGAAAAAATATATTTAATTTATATACTGCCATTTACTCTACAAAAGGATATAAGTAACTAAACGGTAAGTAAAAAAGGTTATGAAACTAAACCATATACCGATCTGGTCGTCGAAACTGCGTGGTCTGAATTTTAACGTGTAAGACAGTGATGTAGACAGCTTAATGTAAAATCAAATGTATTAAAAAGAGATAAAATTTGGGTTGATACATTTCTTTTATGCGGTATTGCCGGATTTTGCATCAAAATTACAAACCGCGCAAGTAGGCGTTTACGATAGATGTTGCATCTAGAATCTGAACTTTATTTTTCACAGTTAGTAACTCATTTTACTAGAGCTCTGTACTAGATTATATTTAGCTTCATTTTATTATCTTCATTTCAGTAGATTATACGAAAGTAAAAATATTTTTTTTTCTACACTCATTTTCCTACAGAAGTAAAACCGGCAACACTGTATGCCGCTTTTATTTTGTCTCTCTGTCTGTCAACCGGTCATTTATATTTATCTCTGTCGCATATATTAAAATACAGACCACGCAGTTTGGATGACCCTTTCAATAAAAAGATTATGGAACGAGCATATTTATCAAAAATCTTAGATCAAACGCGACGGGCTCCTAAAATGGCCGACTTAAATTCCCGTTTATCAGAGCCGTTCTAGTTTTATTCAAAACGTGTAAAAATATGATGTAAAATAGACGTGGGGTAGACTCAATAATTTGTTGTTTTATTTTACGTTGTGAATAAATGTTGGTTGTTAAAATTGTTGTTAAAAAATATATAATTCTAGTAAAAATAGATACGTTATAATAATTATTTATTAACACAAACATTCGATACGCTACTGAAGCAGGTAAGTCAAATTGACGTATCTAAATTCGTTGACATCTAATCTTTGACAAGTAGTAATTAAAAGCAAAAATGCAAGAAAAAATATATAATTAGTTATTATTAAGTGAATTTCATAAATGATCGGTTTATTACACGCATGTATATTATATACAGGGTGTCCCAGAAATAAGTGCAAATATTTTAAGGGGTGGTAGATCTGGTCAAAAGAAACATTTTTACAGAAAGAAACGTCTTCACCGTTTTTCAAATAAGTCCAAAATAACCGAGTTATTTTACTTTGAAAATTTCCAAAAAAATCATTTTTTGCTAAAATTTTGAGAACCACTGGATCTTTTCTGGATTTTCTTTCATGTAAATTTAAGCTACTACCTATGTTGCCATATTATCAAGAAATTATGTTTTTTAACTTAAAATTAAAAAAAATTCCATATTTTCAAAAAAAAATTTTTGCAAAAAACACCTCATGGGCGTGTTTCTGAGGCCGAAATATAGAACCAGTTAAAATATTTGCACTTATTTTTGGGACACCCTGTATATTCAATTACTAGCGCAAAGTTATTCCATATTTCCTTCGATTTTTGAACGAGACCTACTGCAAGCTACACAACCAACTATTTTAGAGTCTTTTTCGATAAATCGCAATAGTGTCACTGTTAATTCAAGTTCTACCACAATTTCCATTTAGATTTACTACCTTTATACAACTATCAGTAGTAGAATAAATAATAAATAACATAAAATAAGCTCAGTAAAGACTGTCAAACCCACAAAATTTCAAATCAAATTCAAATGAATCGTCAAACAAAACTGTCGAGGAACCAAACCACCCTAGAGTCCTCTTTCGGTCGACCATGTATATGAATACATGGATAGCATTATACTCCTTCCTTAATATTTTTATTCAAAGAGACGACCAGATCGGTATATTGTGTGTCTACTGCCAAAAAACAAATTAGAACATTTATAAAGAGTCATAGTTATGGACGAGACTCATATCCTTCAATTTGAAAGGGAAAATACTTAGAAAATACTAGTTTTAAAAAAAAAATTAGCCTAAAGTAAATAATAAAAAAGAGATGCTTCATCAATTAAAAAGAATGCTCACCTGGTATTACTATTTCCACTGTTTTCTATAGGCTGTAGCTGAACAGTCGACAACCTGGCTGCCAAAGTACTGATATCCCTGGGTTCTCTGTCACTTTCTGCTTCAGAATCCGTGCAGCTGTAGTCAGGTTCAGGTATAGACGGTGGACTAGAATGGGCGATTTGAACGATACTAGGCGTGGATTTACTAACAGGGATCTTTTTTCTTTTACTCCGATTGCTAACGGTAGAATTAGACCTGAAATATTGAACAGTCATATCAAAATCGGCATGGAAATTGGGAAAAGTGTAAACGGGATTAGCCATTTTAGAACAAGCAAAAACTTTTACAGTAAGTACGTTGATCCGTTCTGTAGCTACGGGGCATCCGTAAGGAGTAAAACGAAAGTCTTTGTTAGAGAGCAATTCATGGGCGTGCCATAAATATTTTAGATAACATTACTTACTTATACAAAAATTTCAAAAATACCAAATTAGTTTTATTTTTTCAGGTTTTTTCTACGTAAATGAGACATAGTCTTTATAAAAATAAAAAAATCAAGAACAACAAAAAATCAATAAAATCACGCAACTATTTTACCGATAACGACTGCACTGTTCTGCAAGCTCGGTCTACTACCGTATTAATCGATCGCTTCGATTTTTCTCGTAAAAAATGAACGATGCGTCCCGTCAATAAAAATTCGACAAATTTGCAAGAAGCCAATGTAATGAGTGGACTCTCTGTCGCGTGTATACAGGGTGCTACAAATTCGAGGTAACTCAATTGGTATCTCGGTAACCGTAATAGATTGGAACATGGTTAAATTGGGGCAAAGTTGCGCTTTGTGATATTCACCAAGACGCCATCAAAAAAGTTTTAAAAATTTTAAGGATTGCTGAGTTTTTTGGAAAAAACGGATTTTTTTGAAAATTAATTTTATTTTTTCCTGTCGTTACTTTTAAGAAAAGCAAAAAACTAATTGCACATTCTCATAACCACTTTATAAGGGCTATCTGATAGTATTTTTAGATTTTCAAATTAGCTGATAATTTGTAAGATACAGAGGCCAACTTAATTTTTTTAAATACGGACCTGCATTTTTTATTTCCGGTTTTGAAAGAACTCGGTCTCCTGAGTACAATGATATGCCACACTTTATACTTTTTTTTGTGTTTTGGGTACCTTAACAACAAAAAACTATTTAATTATTATTTAAAATAATTTCAAGTCCGACTCTGTTTTTTTAATTATTTAATCTGATTATATTCATTGCAACAATATTGCTCAGCGCTAGTTAACATTGAATAAGGAAAATCCAGACAATTGGAAGATTCAAATAAATTATATCCAGGTCAGCAATTTAAAGATATTATTTTTAACTTTTTTATTGTGAATTTGAAGAAATCTGAAATTTCAGTGTGCGATCTAATAATATGCGTAATATTCATCGTAGTTATTATAAATAAATCAACTTCTACAAACTAGTTTCTAATGCTCTAAAGGTTCAAAAGGGTTACCACCCTCCCTATTGCACAAATTTTTCGTCCAATTTTATTTATAGCTCTTAACTTTCTTCTTATACTTCCGAAAGCATTTTGTACTCTTTATTGTAAATGTTAAGATGTATTGATTTCACTTTTACAAATGACGTGAAGTAATGTATTCATTTCTATATTATTTTTTTAATATTTTATTGCATTTGATTTTCCATATTCAATGTTTTACCCCACGTCATTGTTAAGTTTGAAAGCTTATCAATATTGTAACGATGAATAGATTAAATATTAAAAAAAGAGCCGGACTTGAAATTAGTATAGTAAATTGTGTTCAAATTTCCGAAATAAAAAAAAATATTAAGTGTGGCATATCATTGTACTCAGGAGACCGAGTTCTTTCAAAATCTGAAATAAAAAATGCAGGTCCGTATTTAAGAAAAATTAAGTTGGACTCTGTATCTTACAAATTATCAGATAATTTGAAAATCTAAAAATACTATCAGATAGCCCTTATAAAGTGGCTATGAGAATGTGCAATTAGTTTTTTGATTTTCTTAAAAGTAACGACAGGAAAAAATAAAATTAATTTTCAAAAAATCCGTTTTTTCTGAAAAACTCAGCAATCCTTGAAATTTTTAAAACTTTTTTAATGGCATCTTGGTGAACATCCCAAGGCGCAACTTTGCCCCAATTTAACCATGTTCGTATCTATGACGGTTACCAAGATACAAATGCTCGAGGTACGGGCATTGGTATCTTGGTAAACATTTGTAGCACCCTGTATAGGTGGCGATCTATAAAATAAATTGCTGTTTATTTAAATATGTTCTGTAGTAAACTGATCATACTCCAATATTGTACCTGAATTCTTGAGATTCCTTTCGTAGGCATAGATCCAGTAGACGTATATTACAAAGAACGCATTTATAATACGGCGCATTTTCTTTAGAAATTAAACAGCCTAAGATTCTGTACTGGACTTTTGTCCAATTTTATTTAACATAACATAATTCTGGAACGGATAATCCCCAGATTCCATGAATGTCTTTTAAAGAGCACGAATTTAAAATGTGTAATCATACTTTACCTGGATGTCCTAATAGGTTGAGCATATTGGTTAGCTTGCTGCGAAGTCTTATTAACTGGACCCGTTGAGGTACCAGAACCTTTGAAAGGTGTAGAAGTTTGCTTCATACTTTGCGACTTCCTTAGAGCTCTGGAGGTATGTGATGGTAGACTCTTCGATCTGTATCCAACGGTCTTCATGTCTTCAGGGGAAGCGTAGAGTTTCGCGCTGGTGGTAGGATTGAAAGACGAAGCTACCCCTGCAATAAATAGCATCAGTCTAACAGTTTATATGAATATGATACAAAAAATGCCATAAAGCATATGAAAGAAGCGCTAAATGTCTTAGATGGACTCCAAAATATTTGCAAAATACAATATGATCGAATAAAAACAGCGTCAGCGATGGCTATGAAATTGAAGAACGCTGTCATTTTAAGATATGTAAAATTATAAGCGAATATCATCGATCATCATTTCCAAGCCAACGTCGTTTTTTTCGATCATACGGTACTTTCAGAAGCATTCTTTGGAAAAACATGTTTTTCTTATGTTGCGGGAAATCTTGGAAATCCGAAGGAGATCGAAATCGCCCGAGACAAGCCATAATTGGTTGTTTTTTTTTGTTATTAGAATTGTTGCAATGTTTCGAGAAATGTTCTTACTAAAAAAAATGTTCGTACTACTTCGCAAAGTAATCAAGTTCAAACTTTGTGGTGGCTTCAGAAAAATAAGTAAACCAAGAGTATGGATAAATATTATACCCTATGATTGAATAAAAACGGGAGTTAGCGATGGCTATGAAATGAAGATCGCTGTCATTTTATATGTAAATTTATATGGGAAATGTCATCGATAGTCATTTCTCAGCCAACTGGACGCCGTTTTTTTTTGATCATACGATATTAGGTGTAGTGTAATACTACTATATCAAACTGATATGAAAAATAAAAATAGTGCATTTAAAAAACAGTTAAAAATTTCACGATTGCTACTATTTTTTGTTCTACAAGTTGGTATTACCACAGATTAGGTATACTATATGTATACAGATAAAAATCTTATCCCTAATTCTTGGTACGAAAATTGTTTTTTATGACGATGAGCAAACGAGTAAAATTTCCTGTGCGCAAAAATAAACTCGCGTAAAATAACAATAAACAGCGTAATAGAGAGATATCGGTAAACCGAATAGCGTGCATGGACGTTAATAACGCCAGGTATTATTTCTTTTACGTGAGGTGGTATTAACTCTCTTCATTTATAGTTATCGGATCGGAAAGAATTCTGTTCGCGTCGCGTCCGCTATTTAAACTTAACCTAACTTTGAATTTAACACTTTGAAATTGTTTTGTTTACTAGGTATTTTAAAACTAAAGGGCTAAATTGCTTATTTCTAGTGCTTTATTGTTCAACGTCTGCCAGTGGGTTTAGGACAACAAATTCTCTTAGAAGGGTTAAGTCGTCATCTGCTGTAAACCTAAGCCTCTTTATAGGTTCTTTAATATTGGAAGAGGTGGAATCCAGATTTTGGGCCATATTTATTTAATTAAAATTAATCCCAGCTACTTAAATATCAAATTACTGTAATCGGGAGATTAATATATCTAACAGAAATTGATATTTTAAATATAATTCTAACTATCTTGACCAACAAATGACTTCTCTGGGCCGAAATCAACAATGCCCGGCATTCAACTGTTTTCAAAGCCTACGACTCCGCTACTCGCAAACATCAGCGGACACGGGGTGCAGGCACGGCGTGACAATGACTGCCTATCATAAGGATCATAGGCGTCGATAACATTACCTAATAAAACTAAAGTAATAATTCAAAACAATTCAAACATAATCTAAAATAAAAGATCTCGCCGGCCGGCCCCGCGGTTGTCAAATATCCACACATGCCCATTTAAGCAATTTTTAAACGTTATTTAGATTTTTCGTTATAGCGCTTGGTGTAATTGATAATGGGACTGCTCATTCAGCCAAAAATGTCCGCCAGGTGCATGCGAAAACTACTCGCTTTGTGACGTCACTGTAGCCCTTGTCAAACCCTTGTCATGGTTATTAGTCCTTATCCGGCAACCAATAATACACACACGTGCATTATTGGTTACCGAATGCAAAACGTTCATTATTTAGTTTATTTATTTAAACACCTTATATGTATGCAGTAAAGAAAATTAACTGTATAAATAACTGTCTTTAATAACTGGGCGGGTCAGGCGCAGGGTCAGCACGCCCACTTATGGCCTCTAAAATTGTGCACAGCGCCTGACCCGCCCAGTTATTAGAGAGATATCGGAAAACCGTAACCTAACTAGTGCGCGGTTCCGAAATTTAATAAAGAAAAAACAAAGTTTATACTCTGTATAATCTGTGGTATTACCAAGTGAAGACTTGCTAGCACAAAACCTTATGAAAACTAATGGTACTGGTATCTAATAGTACCTTCTTGCATGTCCCTCTTCAAGGTATCGTACTCCGATTTCGGCCTGGGCATCTCCATAGTGACTACTTGTACTTGTGGTGGTGGCGGTGGAGGATGTGTTGGGGGCGGTAGGTTCCTGTTTATGCCCATGAGGATACCCAGGTCCTCCTGGCTTCGATGGTTTTTGGTATTTGGTAACGTGTGTGAGTTGAAGTAGGCCGCCTCTTGAGCGAGGTCGGGCGTACTGTGGAAGTCCCTGCGTAAGGAGCGGGTACCGAAAATGTCAAAGAACTTTGTTTTTGCCTGAAAAAAAAATAAACGCAAAATTTTAATATTATTTACTAATAGTAGAGTCCAATAGTACAGAAGATTTTGAAATAAAAAAGTGATTAAGACAGGAGTGTATTCTGTCTCAAGTGTTGCTTAACTTATATGTGGAAAGAGCATTCACTAAGCATTCACAGTGCCATTGGTTTGAAAATAAATGGCATTCCAATTAATGATATCCGATATGCAGATGACACAGTGATATTGAAATAAATCCTTCTAAAAAAATTAACAACGAAAGCCAAAGACTGGGTTTAAACATTAATATTAGAAAAACTAAATTTATGGCTGTTAGTAGAAACAACATTCCGAACACCAGAATTTACTTAAATGGAGAGGTCATCAAGCAGTTCGCACAATTTAAATACTTGGGATGCATGGTTAACCAAACGTGGGATCCAGATCAGGAGATCAAATGCAGGACAGAACAAGCAAGAACAACTTTTCTAAAACTTCGAAGGTTTCTCACAGATAGGAACTTGAACTTCAGTCAGAGTCATACAGAATGGAGAAGTGCTATGTCTGGTCCGTTTTGTTATATGGTGTGGAAGTATGGACACCGAAAGTAGAAGCAATAAACAGAATTGAAGCCTTCGAACTGTAGACCTTACGACGAATGCTAAGAGTGTCCTGGGTCGACCGTGTGAGGAATGAAGACATTCTCAGAAGAGCTGGTCTTTGAAATCATTAAGAAGAGGAAAATAGCCTATTTGGGACACATACTATGTGGAGAACGCTATCACTTTCAGCGTCTAATACTCCAAGATAAAATCGATGGAGGCAAAAGGGGAATAGGCCGAAGGAAGCTATCCTGGCTGAGAAATATTCGTCATTGGACAGGCATACAGGAGTTCCAATGATGATTTTGATGAGGAATAAAAAGATGAACGCCGAAGAGGAGGAGTCCAAAATGCTAAATGAGGATTTGTTCGAGCATCGTGGGGACTTATTGTATTGTAAAAATTAGACACTAAGAAGAGTACAGATCGGGTTGTGCTCTTATTATAGCCAGAAAATGAAGTCTGGTCATTCAAGCTGCCTTTGACGTCGTTTTCGTTCGATCGTATGGTATGATGTATTACCTACTACAACAGTTCCGATTTTAGTTACCTTAGCTTTATTCCTTTTCATTTCAGCCACGCTAGTATAGACTTTTCCTCTGGCAGGTTTACTACTCGTATTACTCCTACTATTCCCACTACTAATATCTACATCCTGACTGTTCTGGAACAGTTCTTCTAAAGCGGTGTGAGCAATTCTCGTTGAAGTAGGCCTTTGTCGAATCGACGCCGTCCTGAGTTGAACGGGAGTACTGTTTCCGGTACCGCCTTGCGATTGCTGTATCGATTCGGCCGAACTCGATTTGGCCACGTCATCAGTCTCATCTCTATCTCCACCTGGAATTGTATAAAAAAATTTGGTAATATCTAAAACATTCTTTTTTTTATTCAAGTAGACAGAGGGACTAGAACCATAAAAAATAGTTGACGTAACAATAATAATTCGATATTATTTTCGACATAGTAATTTTTAAAAGAAAACTGTTAGAACGTGTCATTTAAAAATTAAAAGTTATAGTAATTTCTGGTAGGTAAGTGGTAGAAAACAATTTTATGGAATACGTTTATTACAGGGTGTTCCTTAATGACATGCTAATATTTAACGAGGTAATTCTTGGAACTATTCTAAGAAAAAAACTTCATATGAATATGAATATCTTCACTTCTAAGATACAGGATGAAAAAAAAAATATTTTTTTTGCAAAATATCTCTAATGGTACATTTGATACACGTCTTCCAAGCATCAAAATGCTTATTTTGATATACAAAAAATGTTTTATTTCTTAATTTCCTTCCAGCAACGGCAGCTATGATTTCAACAGTCACCGCATCATATTTTCAGCGATTTGTCCCTGAAGCAAACTGACTTTATTTTTTTTAAGCAAAACAATGCGTCGGACGAAAAAAAATCAAGAAATAAAAAATGTTTAGAAATCAATGGAGATTTTGAAAATAATTTTCTAAGAGAAGTCAGTGGTGTACCACTTTTTTCTCCAAAAATATTCAATGTAAAACTCGAATGGTCCATACGAGTTTTACCGGTTGCCGTCGGCACTGGTTGAAATAAACAAAATCCTTTGTACACCAAAACAAGTATTTTGATGCATAGAAGACGTGTATCAAGTTTCATAAAAATATCTATAATAAAATCAGAGATATTATGAAAAAAACATTTTTTTTAGAAAAATTTACCACGCTGTATCTTAGAAATGAAGATGTTTAGGACATATATTCATATGAAGTTTTTTTTTAAATAGGTTCAAGAATCACACTCTTGTATATTAGAATGTCATTAAGGAACGCCCTGTATATTAACATTTTTTCGTATTTTTTACATTAAAACCATGCCCTTGCTTTTGGTTCTAGTTAACAAACCTATAAAAAAGTGTTTATGATTTATGTAATGTCACTGGCTTTGAAAAATCATATTATATCTTGTCTGTTAGGCAGTTACTCTAGAAAATATGGTTTTATGTCCAAAAGTTGATCTCCGCCATGATCAATTAAAGCAGCATTAGCCAACACTTCAGAACTTAAAACCATCACTACTAGAGTATTTATTACTTTTCAATGACAGTGACATTACACAAACAATAAACACTATTTTATAAGTGTGGTGATTAGGATCCAAAATCAATGCTAAAATTCATGTTTCATTTTTAAAAAATTAAAATTCATTTCATTTTTAATTTAGAAAGAAAGACTAAAAAAATAGCGTGTGCACTATGTGCGCATATTTGTAGTAAAACTTCTTACTAAAAACTCTTAAATTGAAGGATTTGAAGGATATATATTTTTATGAATGCTATTTATAACTTCAAAAAAATTACAGTTATTATAAAACCGTATACTATTCTAGCTTTATAATTTTATGTTTTTTTAATTTTTATTAAAAAACTATAATAATTCTATCATTCGGCCGGATAGCCTGGCAGCTGTGGCCATTAAACCAAAATAGTACTACATCTATATCTCTGACTACTACTAACTAGTGATGGGATCACTCGAGCGAAAATTCGCTAGAGTACTCGATTATTGAAATAACCGACATCGCTCGATTATGAACGAGCGATGCAAGTGACGAGTACCAAGCGACGAACGCAAGCGATCCTAGAATAAAATAAATTGAAATCCGATTTTAATGTGACATACTCGATAAAAAGCCGAGCGAATTTTCTACATACATTGCAGGTAGCAAATTTATATGACGCCGTATATACGGGGTGCGACTCAAAAGTAGCTCCACCTATTACTTTTTTATTTTTTTAGATAAAAAAATGAGATTTGGCATGTTAGTATATGACATAAATTAGGATTGATTGAACTAACTAAACACTTCCTGTTTCACCGGAAATTACTACAATTTTTTATTTTTAAATGGCACCTTGGTATTTTTTTTGACTTTATTCGATAGAAAATGACATTCTAAAGAGAATGATGTATCATATGTCAACTTTTGACATATTCGCTTAAAAACAAATTGTATTTTAAATTTCAATCTAGAGTGTCATGGCTGTGTTAAAAACACTAATTTTTAATCAAGGAGCCTTGGAAAAATATATTTGATCGTCTAATGTTTTTAGTGTCTTGCCCTGGCCGGTTAAAAGATGCTTAAATCGTATTTTTGATCATATCTCAATTTTTTTCAAATGGAACGAGGGTGGCTCATTAGTATATTTCGAAAAAGATCTTTTTACGAATAATTTGATACCACACACTTGGTACTTCGAGTCAAATTGTCATTATGAACCGCATGTTACAAATTCAAATTCAATTTCAAATATATCATATACGAAAATGTCAAAAGTTGACATGTGATATGTCATTCTATTCAGAGTGTCATTTTCTACCGAATAAAGTAAAAAAATACCGAGGGTGCGATTTAAAAATCAAAACTTGTAGTCATATCCGGTGAAACCGGAAGTGACCGAAAACAATTGAATATGTCAATCAATCCTAATTTATGTCATATACTAATATACCAAGTCTCGTTGTTTTATCTGAAAAAATAAAAAAGTTATAGGGGTGAGCCACTTTTGAGACGCACCCGGTATATTTATCCATTGCGTATCTGAGGGACAACATTTTACGACCTACATCGACAATGCTTCGAACTAAACTAAACCAAGCGATCAAGCGAATCGCTCGCCGATTGCTACTTGCCGTTCATTACCGAAAGAATATATATGTGCCCTGCGCACGCAGCTTGCTGCTTGGCGCTTGGCGTTAACGAGTACTTACAACATGCGACGGACAAAAAACCGTATTTTTAAATACGAGCGATATTTCGCTCAAGTGATCACTCGGTTATTGCAACCGCTTGATACTCGAGTACTCGATTATTGAAATTAATCGGTTTTTCCCATCACTCCTTCTAACTGCTAATAACAAACAATTTGCTTTGTGCGGTCTGTGGTCTGTTTTTGTTTAAATGTTTTTTTCATTATTCATGTTGGGGATTTATTTTTAAACTCATAGAGTATGTATTTTTAAACTCATATAGAGTATGTATTTCTTTTGCATAATCAAAACTGTCACACTAAATTTTACATAACCAAATTGTCACTCTAAATCTCTGTCTCTTTTAGACAGATGTTACTTGTCTTGTCATTATTCAATTCATTATTCGAATTCACAAAACATCCCCCTTTAGAACTTTTTCTTTAATGGCCATAAGCGGGAGTAAAAGACCAACCGCCCGAACAAACACTAGAGGCGCCACGGGTCATCAAATGGTGTAAAAATTGCGAAAATTTAATCATCTAATTTTGATACAAGGGGTCGCGCTTAACTTTTTCAGTTTTAATTCGGTATTCATTGTTTTTAAACTATATTATTAGACTTTGTTGTATTTTGTGAATGTATAAATGTTTCTTAGTATAAAGTTGCATTATATATAGTAATTTAAATTATATTACATACATATTTAAGATTCAAATATTATGACATAAATGTCAGTTGCCGTCTAAAATGTCATCTTGATAACAAAAAGTTAATTTTTGTCAAGAGTAGTTAAAATCATGTTAAAATATTAAAATTTACAGGTTATAATTAGATATTTTATATTATTTCAACAACAAACACAATAGTACAGCGTAATGTTGATATGCAGGTCCAAAACAAAAGTGCCGTTATATTTTTCAGTTTTCGTTGTCAGCCGCGGAAGTTTTAGTGATTTTAGTGTTGTCGGATATTTTTATTTGTGAAATAGAAATATTGCGTTTGGATTGCAAAACTAAAAGTGGAAGTTTTATTGCAATGTAAGTAAGCGTTTGTCCATTTTATATTTTACTTTTTTCATACTACGATAAATATACATATATTGAAATTTTATAATTCGTTTTATTTAAAAAATGTTAGAAAACAAGCTTGTAATCCTGTAATTGACATAATTGTTATGTAATATATTCCATTTAAATGTAATATATTACTTTTCGATTAAAAAAATGTAAATTTAAAAAATATATTAAAAATATATACAGGCATTAATTGAAATTTTTTGAGTGCGAACAAACACGAGAGGCGCTTTATTATTTACTTTCATTTCTTAACATGACAGACGAAGTTCTAAAGGGGGATGTTTTGTGTTCGAATTCTCAGAATGTTGTTAACAAAAGTTTCATCTTAAAATAAAATTTTAATGAATCACAATTATCTCCATCATTTACCGTATTAATAATACAGAAATTACAGTTCAATTGCAAACAATTGATTATTTATAGTGACTTACAGTAATTTTATTAAATTATACGAATATTCTCGTTGATTATTAATTTGAAATAAATATGACAGTATCCTCCAATGAAAATGCGAGTTACCAACTCTAAATTCTAATTCTGAGCTGGCAAATAAGCTAGATGCTTTATCTAGACCGTTATTCAGAAGCTACAAACTTATCGATGAAAATACGTATGAAAATTTACTTCCTAGCACACAAGGTTGGTACAATATCAAATTTATTATAGTGCGTAAAGAAGTTTTACTTCAAACAGTCAAATAATTTAGCTACAAATTGCTTAAAAATCATCAAAATCGGCCCACCAGAACAAAATATATCAAACTTTAAAATACATCAAAATTTTAAGGTGCCCGTTTTTCGTGACACAAAAAACGAGAGACAAAATCGGCACTGACCTAATCCGGCTACTAAGCTTTTCGCCCTAGCCCTCCCGATACTAAGGGTCGTTTTCGGATCCCTTCTGGGTGGCAGGGGAGCTTGGGAGGAACGACCAAGAGCGTTGGAAGCAGCGCCCATCTTCCTAGGCAACGTTGAGAATTGCCTGGTAGCTGTTTGGTCGTGGGTAATGTTACCAGGCAGGATGGTCGAGCGACTCATGTGAATCGTAGCTTGTGATGTCGGTGGATCCCACGAAATAACCTGATAGGGGTAAATATATATTGCACAAATTAGTATTTTACAAAAATATTATTTTGAAAAAGTAATGCAAACAATAAAAGTATAACATTAAAGAAAAATAACCTGGCACAAAATGTATTACGAATGCTTACCATCATTTTCACTAAATCTCCAGATCTTCTAATCAAGTCGACCACATGTTCATGCGATGCTGAGGAAACATTTTCGTTATTGATTTCTATCAGGAAATCTCCTTTCTTGAGACCAGCCATGTCTGCTACACCACCTTCAATAACAAATATATAGATTAAAATAAACAAATATTAAGAGCCCATTTCATTAGTTCGAAAAAGTAGAAAAATAAGTATTCGGCATTTAACGTTTTATGTAAAACTGGCTAGGTATTTTTTACACAAATGAAGAAGGAAATTAAAGATAAAGGATTATACTATATCCGTATTGTAGCACATTTTTAGACAACATCTTTATTTTTAGGATTTTGATGGTCAAACATCAACAAAATATTCCTTATGTTTGGACTAAATTTTCTCGAAAATCTATACTAATATATAAAATCCTTAAGTGACCAACATACTGATTAATCACGATTCTGCTCAAACCACTCAACATAAGAAGCTCAATTTTGGCATACAGGTTGAATCTAGGGTGTAGAGGTTCGATAAGAAGGGGTTTTTCGAAATTCCAATTCCAAGAGGCTGAAACCACCCCTCAAATATTACAATATTTTTTATTTAAAAACGGTAAAGTTTCCGAAAAAACGCTTAAACACGTATATTTTATTTTGTTTTTTTACTTATTTTAAGATTTTTTAAAAATGTATACAGGGTGTTTCGAAAAATCTGGTCATTGATTAATCACGATCCTGCTTAAAGCGCTTGACGTAAAAAGCTGATTTTTGGAAAACAGATTGACTTTAGGGTGTAGAGGTTCGATAAGAAGGGATTTTTCGAAACTCGAATTCTAAGGGGTGAAACTATCCCTCAAATATTAAAATATTTTTATTTAAAAACCGGTGAGTTTTTCGGAAAAACTCTTAAGCACGTATATTTTATTTTGTTGTTTTACATATTTTAAGATTTTTTATAAATTTATACAGGGTGTTTCATAAAATATGACCATTGAGTAATCACGATTCTGCTTAAACTGCTTGACGTTTAAAGCTGATTTTTGGCAAACGGATTGGCTGTGGGGTGTAGAGGTTCGATAAAGAGGGGTTTCTCGAATCTCAAGTTCCAAGAGGGTGAAAACGCCTCTCAAATATTACAATATTTGTTATTTAAAAAACGGTTAGTCTTTCGGGAAAACGCTTGGACAAGCATAATTTATTTGTTTTTTTTTACATATTTCGATTTTTTTTTAAAAATCATACAGGGTGTTCCAAAAAGTTGGGTAATTTCTTAACCACGATTCTGCTTAAACTGCTTGACGTAAAAAGTTTATTTTTGGCAAACGGATTTTTCGAAAGTCAAATTCCAACAAGATGAAACTACCCTCAAATATTACCAAGTTATATAATAATATCAAGTTATCAAATAATATCATTCGTGGTTTAGTGACAACTCATTATTTTTTAACACTGAAAAAACAACATACCTGAGATTTCATAATCATCAAAAAAACTGTGAAAACTGTCTTACAGCAGGATTGTAGTAATGTAAAATTTCTTGGTTTAATTCTAGACGAATGTCTTACATGGAATCTTCATTGTGAAAGCTTATTACCAAAATTAAATTCTACATTATATCTTTTTAGAAATCTCAGAGATATTATATCTAAGCAACAATTAACAAATATATATTACGCATACGTCGAATCAAGATTACGCTATGGCATAATACTGTGGGGAACATCCACTAGGATTAAGGAGGTTTTTACTGTCCAAAAAAAATACTTAGGTGTATTGCTCGTGTTTCTCCAAGGCAAACTTGTCGAGATTTATTTAGAGAATATAAGTTACTAACTTTGACGAGCATCTTTATTCAAGAGCTGTGTATATTTGTTTATAAACACAAGCATAAATATAAACTAATTTCTGAAGTCCATAATTTCAATACAAGAACTAATCATAAATTTTATCAAATACCATGCCGTACTAATGTAATGTTAAATTCACCGCAATGTTTAATTGCTTACCAACTGAATTTAAATTCAGTAAGAATATAAATGTTTTTAGAAATAAGTTGAAAAATTTTTTATTAGAAAAAGTATATTACAACATAAATGAATTTTTTATGGAAAATGTATAATAAATTGTTAAAATCATACGAAGAAAAAAGAAAGATATTGTTTGTATCAGTATTTTTTCGTTTTCGCATAGATGCATAAGTAAAAGGTTTATTATTGTATTTGTTTTGACTATTCTATCACAATTTTATATTGTAATTTAGAAATAAAGTTTATTATTATCGCCATATTGTTTTCCTTAGCTGACATAAATGTGAGAAAATTTTATCCAGTTTGTATGTTAATGGAAATTCTTGCTTTGCTTTATCATCACCATTACAAATTATAAATTCGACGCGAACGAAGTCAGAACGCTAGTAAAGATAGAATTTAAAATTCGGTTACAATACGGAAATAGATTGAAGTTTTGTGTGATTACAGTGATATATAATTTATATGGTTTTATAACAAATTGCTCGCTATTTTATGGCAAATGCTGAAGCTCTGCAAATCTTAATCAAGCCTTAATCAAAGCACGTGTGTTTCGAATTTTGGGTGTGGCTTAACACGACAGGATCGGGTTAAGCCTTAGGCAAATTTCTGAAATATATTATACCGTATGATCGAAAAAAAATGGCGTCCAGTTGGCTGGGAAATGACGATCGATGAGATTTCCCATATAAATTTACATATAAAATGACAGCGATCTTCATTTCATAGCCATCGTTGACGCCGTTTTTTCTCGATCATACGGTATATTTCCTTCGGTCACACACCCGCTTGACCCGACCTCTGAGAGCAACCCAAACATTACAGCGTAATAGATTCTTAAGCTAATTCTACATCTAGAAGATTCTGAATATAACGTATTGCTTGTCAGTCCCTAGCTGTCTTCGACTCCGTTTTTATTTCGATTGTATAATATTAACTGATGGAATAATAGATATAATATAATAAACAAATTTTACCTGGGTCGACATCATCCAAGTACTGCAGCGCTGGACATTTTTCGGATGGCGTCATTTCCATCAACGGAGACATTGCCTTAGCACCGCGTAAAATGAAGCCGAATCCTTTCCTTCCTTTGTGTAAAACGACGGTACGGGGTTCGGAAGTCAACTCAGAACATCTGTAATTTAAATAAAATATAATTGAAATAGAGGTATCCTTTAAATAACATTGAATTCAAATATTATCACATTTCCGTAAATAAAGTTGACAGTTGAAAATAACTTCCGGATTAACCTGGAGGAAAGCGAAGCAAATATTTTTAAATGACATTGTGTATGTTTTTACACATTTACATACAGGGTGGCCCATATTGTGACAAAGGTCAATTTCGTCGTTGTCGAAGATACGAAAAAAAGTTTTATATAAATGTTGCATGGCTTATAAAGGAGCATATCACAAAATTATTTTGTTGTATACAGAGTGTCAAAAAAAAATTAAAGTTTTATATTTTTTTAAATTGCAACTCTCATTTTTCTGTACCAGAATTGGATTTAACATAAAATTCTACATATAGAACCCTATGAAGCACTATGCGACGCTGTCATTCTATTTTTTATTTACTGAAACTTTGGTTAAAAACAATATATCCGAAAAGTGGTTAAAAGCTAGAGTGAAAATGTTAAAATATACAAAGTACAATATAAAATTCTTTGTTGTGTGTATTGTACTGTATCGTTTTATTATGGAAAATATGAGTTTTCATGAACTATACAGGGTGTCCCAATATTCCGTGGACATAAAACTACTACGTATAGAAATACTACGTATTTTTGATATCAAAATAAATTCATTACTAAAATTCCCCAAATTTATTATTTCAGTCAAATAATTATCTACTCAACGTGTTTATTTTTTATTTTTGTCAATAATGACATATGTATTAACTACTTCCATTCTAATTATCTTGAGAACGGTTGCTCGTAGCGATTTTTAGCAAGAAACATTTATTACGTAAAAAGTGACGGAGATGTATATTTTCTCACTCAGTAGTTTTATACAGGTACGGCCGAAAAGTTATTACTCTTCAAAACAGTTAAAACAGGCGGCGCCCCCTACAAATAGGACTCATATTGACATTAAAATTAAATTTCTCATGTCAAAAAACTCCCCATTTTCAGTTCCAGTTCAATTTTCATCCAAATATTGACGTTACTTCAGAAATTATTTGGAAAAAACCGAAATAAAAATGAAAGTTCTACACCTTGTATCACCGAAACTAAGCATTTTAGTAAAAAAGTTCGTTACTATTTTTATCTGCAAAATATGCTGTCGAAGTTTCCGGAATACAGTTCGGACCACCCTGTATATTTGTAGACAGAAAGTAATATAACAAATATTTGAATCGCCTAATTATGTAAATCAAAAAATAAAGAGAATGATTTCGACATAACAGTTTCATTTCAATATATCTGCTATCACCTTTCAAACAAACGAGATCTATTCAACACGGATGACGTTCACAGAACATTCTTTATCAGAAATCAAACTTAAATACCACTTTGGGTAGAGAAAAAACTTAAGGTTCAAATAAATTAAGAAAGAACGAAAACATTTATTCCCCAATAGCCATAAATCTTTAACAGCGAAAGAAATGCTCCTAAAACCCAATTTAAAAGCTCTCTCCATCTGAGAAGTAGGTATGTCAAGATCCGCGAAACTTTATAGGGCTATATATATTTTTTTCTTCAGTTTATTCAAAATAAATTTGAATAAAATGCTTGGGAATGTGACACGATAAAGCGGTAAATTCCTGCTAGAATTATTTAAACACAAATAAGCTGCAAGCTTGATGGAAAAAGTTAATAAGAAAATTGGTTAAATTGTATTAATAAATTACATACAAAGTGTGCTGGAGACATGAAATACAGAAGTTTATAAATAAATAAATAAAATTATATAAAGATTCTTGCCACTTAACTGCTGATATAGAAATTTAATTCTACGCTGTGTTTGTCATAATGTGGATCAACCTGCTCTCACTACCGGTTTCAGAGCCCTACTCCATCATCAGGTGAGCTGGGGCAGATCCACAAAATGACAACCACAGCGCAGAGATAGTTAATTCCGACTTGTCGGAAAGTGTCGGTTAGATATTACCCTATATTACGTTCCGAACGGGAGATAGCGGCCTGCGTGCAATGGTAGTACTTTCGTACCACCGAGACGCAACTATCGATAGTAAAAGGATGGTATTATGACAAACACAGCGTAGAAATTTCTATATCAGCAGTTAAGTGGCAAGAATCCTTATATACTTTTATTATATACCTATCCTGCAATTCTATTTTTTTATTCAATTCAATTTGATTTATATTTTTATAATTTGGCTTGCCTGAAAAAAAGCCTTTTACAATCCTTTTACTATCGATAGTTGCGTCTCGGTGGTACGAAAGTACTACTACCATTGCACGCAGGCCGCTATCTCCCGTTCGGGACTAACTATATCTGCAGAATATGCTGCCGAAGTTTACGGAATACAGTTCGAACCACCCTGCATAATAATACACTCTGTACTGCTAGAAAAGCTAATAAAGATTTATATTGAAAATTCTTACGATTTCCTTGTCCTGGGTGTGGTAGCGAACTGTTTGCTCGTGCTCTCCCTCCGTCCCACGACCCTGCCTCCTGCCTGGGAGGCTCCTCCGGGAGGTATCCTGGCATCTCTGGCCACCATCATGTGCGCCTGGATGTTGTGGTGTCGCAACTTCACCTCCTGCACGCAGCTAGCTGGGAATAATCCGGTCCTGTTGCCTGTACTTCGGACGTTGCCTTCGAGGAAGCCGTCGTCAGTGGCTCCAGTTACTATAAGAGAATATAAATAGATAATATAAATATATAATGTCTATTTTATGGGGTCATACTAAATGTGGGAATTCTAGTTCCTTAGTTCTAGTTCCTCCAGAGGAATAGTTTCTTAAACTAGGTCTTTAGTTCACATTAGTTCCCGATTAGCATTGACATCCCCGTTGCCAGCTCACGGGTTTCGTTACAAGTCAGAACTATTCATAGTACGAAATTTTACGAGACGTGTTAGTTACGTATTAGTTGAGTCATTGGGGATCAAAAAAGGAGCCTGCTTGGAAAAAAAGTCCGGAAGTTTTGAAATTTTGCAGGTTTATAGGTTTTGGGGTCCCTAACTAAAATCCATAAAATGCACATTTCCAGACTTGCCGCCGGCGCCGCCATCTTGCCAAGATGGCGCCCAAAATCGGTATTTTGTAAATATCTTCAAAACTATGCGTTTTTCGCAAATAAATTAAGAGAGCAAAATTTCCAGATTTGCGCCGCCATTTTGCCAAGATGGTGCCCAAAATCGGTATTTTGTAAATATCTCGAAAATATGCGTTTTTCGCAAAAATTTGAAGAGAGCGAAATTAAAGAGAATAAAATTTCCTATAAATAGGTTCCAAGAAAATTTTCAGTAAAGTCAACCGTTTAGGCACAAAATCCCTGAAAATTTTACAATTTGCGTAAAGTATGGTATATGCATTATCGATTTTCCGAAATCAAATGTTGATTAGGGATCACTAAAACTAGTTTTAGTTTAGTTTCTTCAATTTTGTCATGAAACAGTGGCGTATCATTAATTCGCTCATTAATTTTTGAATAATTAATTGTCGTACTGGACAGCATTCATTGCGAACTTACCACCAGGTTCAGCATTGGCCTGGTTGTACCAACGATGCCGAAGAATGGGGTTGAAAGAAAATAAAAACAGGCATTACTCCAGTCGCAACTTTAACAGATCCAGCTCCAAAATCCCTATTGGCATTTTTATCCTGTAAATGCAAAACCAGCAACTGTGGTAATGCCTGCGGATGCAGAAATCCACAGGGGGATATCTACAGGATTTGCCTGTAGATATCCCTCTGGCGGCTGCAGATAAAGAGTTGGACGAATTGAGAGACCATCACCCTGATGAGTCCAGCACAGCAGACACGATCGACTTTGACACCAATGAGCCAGGTCCGTCGGGCTTGTGCACATAAGTTAAAGTTTTTAATTTGCCTAGCGGAGTAGGCCTCCGGGGAGACCACGTTAAAATAAACGCGCGATGTACTTTACGGGTGGTTAAGAAGGGTGGTGTGGAAACAAGCACACATTTTCAATAATTAAAATTAATTATTCATAAATTAGTGAGCGAAATAATGATACGCCACTGTTTCATGACAAAATTGAAGAAACTAAACTAAAACTAGTTTTAGTGAACCCTAATCGACATTTTGATTTCGGAAAATCGACTATACATAATATCATATTTTACGCAAAATTGTAAAATTTCCAGCGATTTTGTGCCTGAACGGTTGACTTTAGCGAAAATTTTCATAGAACCTTTTTTATAGGAAATTTTATTTTCTTTAATTTTGCTCTCTTCAAATTTTTGCGAAAACGCATAGTTTTCGAGATATAGTCTATAAAATGAATAACTTTGAATTTTGACCGTTATTTTTTACCAACATGGCAAATATAAAATCCCTCTATCAAAAAAGTTACTGATATTCTTTTAATTGAGTGCCTGAACGAATCAGATAGGTAACTCTTTTCATTTTCGTGAAATAGAAAAGGAAAATTATAAAACGAGTGACATTTCTTCCTCTTCTTGCAAAAATCAACACGAAATGTCATAATTGTCAAAAGTAAAATGTCATCAGCTTTTGACATTTCTAAATATCAGACCAATGCCGTCTCTAATAGAACAGCCTCGGAGAGAGATTTATGACGTCACGCTAGTTAGATACTACGGATTAATAAATATGTTGTAGAATACATGGAAAACATAATTATTCCTCGTATTTTTGGTTTGTATTTTAAAAATAATAATAATAATAATACTTATATGTAATAATTTACATATAAAATTACAGCGATCTTTATTTCATAGCCATCGCTGACGCCTTTTTTCTGTGATATTGTATTATTTGCAAATATAATTTTTCGAACACTGATACTTGCAAAATATACATATAAATTTTGTGAATGCAAATAATAATACATCACTATTAGTAGATATTGAATGTTTTTTGTTAAATTTGATCGATTTTCAAACCCCAAAATTTAAAATATATTTTACATTTTACCCATTATCTTATGTACCTATTCATGATTTGTATATTGTAAAACATTTGCTGCATTTGTATGGCTCATAGTTAATTTGCCAAAGTATTTATTACTACTTACTTATTACTACTTACTACTTATTACTATTACTCTTACTATAAATTGGTATATATATTGTATTTATTAACTGTATATTATGTATATTTCATGTAGACTATATCATTTTTAAAATACAAACCAAAAATACGAGGAAGAATTGTGATTTCCATGTTTTCTACAACATATTTATTAATCCGTAGTGTCTAACTAGCGTGACGTCGCAAATCTCGCTCCGAGGCTGTTCTATAAGAGACGGCATTGCGTCAGCATGGCTGCAAGTTGCTAACCTAATAAAATTAACACTAGAAAAGCCCGCGGGAACTGTCAAATTCAAAGTTATTCGTTTCACAGACTATAGTAACAAAATACCGATTTTGGGCGCCACCTTGGCAAGATGGCGGCGCCTGCGGCAAGTCTGGAAATGTGCATTTTATGGATTTTAGTTAGGGACCCCAAAACCTATAAACCTGCAAAGTTTCAAAACTTCCGGACGTTTTTCCAAGCAAAAATCCCCAATGACTGAACTATATAGACAAGTTTTATTGTAGATAAGAACAAAAATTAAAAAAAAATCAAATCAGAGTTTAACAAACTACACTTAAAGGGGGTGGGGGCACAACAAACGGGCACCTTAAAATTCGATATATTTGAAAGATATATACAGGGTCGCTGAAAGGTATGGGTATGGAAACGGTCGATTATTAGGTAAGATATAAGAGGTACCGCAAAAAGTTAAATATAAAGGTTATAGGGTTTTTAATTATCTATTAGCGTGTAATATGTATATACATATACAACATGTATATACATGTAATAAAAGTTTGAAACACTTTTTGGAATATATTAACAAAGCAAGGAATTTAAAAATAATTTTATCATCTAGGTAAGTCTTTTCTTTATAGTTTGTTATTTGATTTAATTTAATTGTAATTTTGAACGTTTTTTTTTTCATATGTAATTGGAGATATTCGCTTTTGAATAAGGCAGTAAAATTTTACAGCAATTTTAGCATTGAAAGCACGCCTTTGCTTTTGGGTCCACATCAACACACTTATAAAAGTGTTTATTGTTTTTGTAATGTCACTGTCAAATTGAAACGTAATATTATTATTATTCATTGACGTTTACTCCAAGTTTACTCTATAGATAAAGGAAATAAATTTAGATTGGAAAGCCCGTTAAAATTTTAGATCGCAAAATTATTTTGGGTCGCGACCGTTGTACGCGATCTGGCGCTGCTATAGCGGTTGCTAAGAACAACTGCAAACAAAAACAAAAATAATTTTCTCTTGTCCATATCTCTTGTCGAAGTCCGAGTTTTCAAAAATTATAAAATCTTTCAAAATCTAAACCGCTCTCGTTGAAAAAATTCCGCATAGTGTTTAAAGCGTCGATTTTCAAAGTAATTATTGTTATCTTGTGAGTTATTTAAGTTTTAATTTTTTAGTTAATTTAAGTTTTATTTACTCAAACCCGTGATAATTGTGAAAAATTGGCATTAAAAACTTAAAAAGCTGTGCCGTGAACTGGAACTGCATAAACCATTGTGGCTCGTGGCATAACGTCGGTTTCCAATGTTTCATAGGTATTTCATACATGTCCTTATATAAAATAAAGTTTCTTGTATTGAACACACTGTATTTTATTTATAAAATTAAAAGAAAATAATAATAAATTTGAATAAATAATATTTGGCGATATAATTCCGGAAAAAGCCGAACCGCTCCGAAATTTTCAAAAGCTTTGGGTCGCGACCGTTGCAAGACTAGCGCCAAATAGTGTTTACATTGTCCTTATGGGCACTTTCCAATCTAAACTTGTTTTATTTATCTACTACTCTAGTAGAGATGGTTTTAAGTTCTAAAGTATCGGCTATTGCTGCTTATCATATATCGGCTATTCCTAATCATCGTAGAGATTAACTTTTTGACTTACCATATCTGCTAGTTAACTGCCCAACAGATATGTTATTAACAGAATAAAATGCCTCAAGCAATAAGCAGGACATCTGGCAAGAAGGAGGTACAACAGATGGACCACTTAAATTACAGCAAGGTATCCACCATGAATTAAGAGGCCCAGAAATTAACAGGGATATCTTATATCTATATCTTGGACCTGGAAATGATGATGACGATGATGATGAAACAACAAAAAATGATTTAATCTACCGATTAAAACAGAAAAAAATACTGTGTCATAAGCACCTGAATGTCAAAGGTACTTCTAGCCATTCGACTACGTTACAGGCGCGTATTAATTTTTTAAACGGTACTTCTCATTCCAATCCGCGGCTGCATTACTAAAATGGCAGGACATTACATACCCGGCTCGCAACAGGATCGCTGCAGGATATCGAATGGCCGGCGTAATTGTTTTGCAACGTCCAACGATAAAACAAACTATTCTATTTGCATTATCAAATTTACATTATGTCTGCATTTACTGCCCGCTTGGCTTTTATACGCGCGCACCAATAATACTGCTCGTTTTGATTAATGTAAATGCCTCGAATAAAAACTTCTTATTGCCATTATGGTTTCGAGCCAGGTGCGTGGGCAGGTATGTAAGAGGGGGAAGGGTTAGGTTACGTGCTTCCACAAACCACGCTACCTCAGAGTAGTAAAAAATACGGGGTTCTTCACTGACAATTCGTCGATAAAACGTCTTTCAGAATCTAATTTAGTTCTCGAGGAATTCTCGAGGAATTTGTCCTTAGGGCTCGAACTCACTGACGACCAGGTCGCAACGACCTGGCCGTCGCGTCGCGTCGGCTGGCCGGATGTGTTGTTTTTGCTGCGGCCAGACGAACGACCAGTTTCAACGGAGTTGTCAGATCTAACGATTTTTTACGTTTTACCAATTGGAACATATTGTTTCAGAAAAAATTAAGTTTCAGAATATATATACCTATTCATTATTTGTATATTGTAAAACATTTGCTGCATTTGTATGGTTCATAGTTTATTTGCCAAAGTATTTATTACTATAAATAGGTGTATATATTGTATTTATTAACTGTATATTATGTATATTTCATGTAAACTATATCATTTTTAAAATACAAACCAAAAATACGAGGAAGAATTATGTTTTCCATGTATTCTACAACATATTTTTTAATCCGTAGTATCTAACTAGTGTGACGTCATAAATCTCACTCCGAGGCTGTTCTATTAGAGAAGGCATTGGTCTCATATTTAAAAATGTTAAAAGCTGATGACATTTTACTTTTGACAATTATGACATTTCGTGTTGATTTTTGTAAGAAGACGAAAAATTGTCACTTGTTTTATTATTTTCCTTTTCTATTCCACGAAAGTAAAAAGAGTTACCTATCTGATCTGTTCAGGCACTCGATTTAAAGAATTTCAGTAACTTTTTTGATAGAGGGATTTTATATTTGCCATGTTAGTAAAAAATAACGTTCAAAATTCAAAGTTATTCATTTTATAGACTATATCATGTGAGTTTAATTTAAATTTTACTTACTCAAACCCGTGATAATTGTGCAAAAGTGGCATTAAAAACTAAAAAGCTGTGTTGTGAACTGTGAACTGCAAAAAGCATCGTGGATCGTGGCATAACCTTGGTTTTCAATGTTTCATAGTTATTTCACATACATGTCCTTATATAAAATAAAGTTTCTTGTATGCAACACACTGTATTTTATTTATAAAATTAAAAGAAAATAATAAATTTGAATAAATAATATTTGTGCGACATAATTCCGGAAAAAGCCGAACCGATCCGAAATTATCAAAAGCTTTGGGTCGCGACCGTTGCAAGAATAGTGCCAAATAGTGTTTACATTGTCCTTATGGGCACTTTCCAATCTAAACTTGTTTCATTTATCTATGTTTAGAACTTCAATCATATGTATTCAACCACATATTCATGTAAAATTTTCTCTAAAACGACATGGAAATCTAGAAAAGTACAAACGGGATTAAACCATTTTAGAACAAGCAAAAATTTTTATGAAGTATGCATTTTTCTGAAAATGTCAATAATAAAAAAGTTTTTCCTCTTGTAAAGACAATCCGGGGACATACTGTAAGTATAGCAAAAGTTTGGTATAGCCGAGGTATGTTCCGTTTTGTTACTCTAAACTCGACCCTCCAGTGGAAAAAATACAAAATACCGAGACTCCAGAGAGAACGAAACAAAGCGAGACGGAGACGGGAGAGGAATTGTTTTGTTTTATTGCCGGTCGTACGTACATGATTTTGTTTACGATCGGGCCGGGGCATGTTTCGATGAATGAAACGTTTGCTTTGGTCGTTCCACGCCGTTCCAAATCGATTTCTTCTGCTCGTAATCGATTTTTCTCGATGCGTTTTACGAGCGGCGAGCCGTATTCCGGCGAATCGATCGTAATGGGTAATGCGAGAGCCCATAGGTTAATTTGGTGCGTACTGTAATATCGGCCCCGTTGTAACGTTAGCCGAACGAACGGCTATAAGACATAAACCATGGCTGTGCTCATTTAAATCATCAGAGATAAATTCCTAGATCTCATTACCTACATGAATAAATAAATTCATTTCATTTTTGTCGGAAATATATCAGAGTCAGAGGGTTTCAATTATCTAACCGTCTAGGAAATAATAATCGTTTTGGGAAATAAATAACCATTTTGGAAAATAAATAACCGTTTTGGGAAATAAATAACTGTTTTAGGAAATAAATAACCGTTTTGGGAAATAAATAACCGTTTTAGGAAATAAATAACTGTTTTTTGGTAAATAAATAACCGTTTTTGGAAAATATATAACCGTTTTAGGAAATGCTGTCAGCACGGACATCAGAGGCTCAGATGGGTACCAAAACTGTAGCTATTAAAACAATGCAAGAACCTCCACAACGTGGAGTAACCTCCCTTCTACTGTAGAGCTTCGTAGTGGATAAAATATAAAGAAATTCTATCGGGAATATACTGCGTTGGGTATGCAAGCCACATAGTCATGCTCGCTCGGGGGAAACATGAAGCTTCCTGTGTGATATTATACAAAGAGGACTCCGTATCACTGAGAGACGGTGCAGAACGGTTGGATTGAGCATCAACCCAGACAAAACCGCAGTAGTTCACCAGAAAGCGAAGTCTGGAAATCTTGAAAAAGAATCTAACTTGATAGAAAAGAAATACTGATGCCATCATAGGAAGTCAAATATCTGGAAATAACCTTGGACAGTAAACTTCTGTTGAACAGGTATAAAAAACATTACCAGCAAAGCCACAAAGGCTCTCATAATATGCAGAAGACTGACAAAATATGCTGCTGAAGTTTTCTGAATACAATTCAGACGACCCTGTATAAAGATTGTTCCAAATGTATGTGTACGGCGACCGACGGGAGCAAGTACCATGGAGAGCTAGTTTTAAAATAAATGATTAAGGTGACTTACCTTCGATGAGTTCGCCTTCCCTGATGCTGATGTGTCCCTTCTCCTTCGGGTAGTACGACTCGATGCAGACCACGGTACTTCCCGGCATTGATATGCTACAGTTGGTCGTGTCCGAGTTGGCGGTACCCACCCCGGAACTGTCGCTGATGATGTCACTGGCATCGCCAAGGCTTTTATCTGCAACACCCAGTGCGAGCACTGAGATAGATTACGGAGGTTATGACAAGGCGATCAATGGAATATTCAAAATAATTTGGAATTATTGCATTAAAATATATCATATTTAATAAGAATTAAAAGTCAAGTAATAAAAAGGTTATAGTAAAAGGTATAGCTCTGATCTACTATTCTGAAAGTCGTTGGTTATTTCACGGGCAGTCATGAAGACATAGAGTCTTTAACTCTTATAGTCAAAGTCAACGCTGTTCAAATTAATATTGTAAGTACTCTTCTGTATACTCAAGTTTTGGTATTTTCCAACTTGGTTCATAAATCAGTTTTTTATTATTCTGTTAGCTGACAATTCATGGGCATGTCATAAATATATTACATATTATTATACTCATTTATACAAAAATTTCAAAAACACCCAATCAGTTTTATTTTTTCAATGTTTTTCTAACGTAAATGAGACATAATCATTATAAAAATTAAAAAATTAAGAAGAAAATCAATAAGATCATGCGATTTATCGATTTATCAATAACGACTGCACTGTTCTCCAAGCTCGGTCTGCTACCGTTTTAATCGATGTTTCTCGTAAAAACTTTGACGACGCGCCCCGTCGATAAAAATTCGACAAATTTGCAAGTAGCCAATGTAATGAGTGAGCGTTGTGTGTTTTGTGGTGACATACTCGACAAGTCCACGTGGACTCTCTGCCGCTTTCATATAGGTAGCGATCTATAAAATATATTGCTGTTTATTTAAATGTGATTTGTAGTAAACTGATCATACTCCAATATTGTGACCGCATTCTTGAAATTCCTTTCATAGGCACATATCTAGTAGACGTACTTTAATTAACCCTGTCAGAAACAGAATGTAAAAAAATGGCAAGTCTCGTAACGCAGTTCTCCCACTAGAAAAAGTTGTGATCATGAGATCATCAAAATAATGAGATCTCACAACTTTTTCTAGGGGGAGAATTGCGTTGCAAGGCCTGACATTTTTTTACATTCTATATTTTTTATGGGATCTTATTTCTTTTTTCAAAATAATATTAAAGAAGTTTGACTAGCGGTAATTCATAAACTCTGAATTATTGTTCTTACATTCATATACAAATAAAATCAATGAGGTATAATTACTAGATATATTGACAAGCTAGCCAGCTATGGTATGTCCTCATGACTAGTAAAAATTAATACTATAGAATGCTCAGCCATAGTTCAACGTCACGTCATATATTGTCGAACTCTCTCAATCACTTGCCAACCAGGGGCGCTATTCTGTACAATCGTCGGAATCGGTGAGTTACCGATAGCTATCGGTACGTATTTGCATATAGTAAATATGTGTTAATTTTTGTTGTCATAGTTACCGATCGGCCCTATGACAGATATCGCAAATTTATACCGACGACTCTCGGTATCTCTACCGTGAGGTTGACAAGGGCACGGTAGAGATACCGATTTTCGTCGGTACAAATTTACGATATCTGCCATAGGACCGATCGGTAACTATGACAACAACAATTAACACAATTTTACTATATATAAATACGTATCGAGAGCTGTCATAACATACCGATACCGACGATTTTACAGAATAGCGCCCCAGATGAAATAGATTGGTGACGTCATTACGGCATTTCGTAAGTTACTGCCTTAGATCATATACACTTAACGTGGATAAATCAACGCCATAAGTTTAGCATTAAAAAATATGTCTCCAACATCACGACATGCCATTTTCAAACCTTCTTTATTGCACTTATGAAACGTTCAATAGGTTTATCTTTCTCGAAGACCTTTTGCGCATGCGCATTAAAAGTTGCACGTATTTCCAAAATAATCACAATTTTATATGGTTTAGAAAGTACAAATTAATTATACATTGTTATGGAAACCAACTTTTCATTGTCACCATATTCTTATTTCCATTGTGTAACGACGCTGGTTTTTTGCGTTTTTCATTATAAAAATTGTATTAATTACTCTTTTATCGACCGCTTTTATATAGCCAAGGATTCAAGTGTGTTCAGTGATTCAGTGAAAAGTCAACTTTATGTTTGTGCAATTATATTCCTATTTTTTTTCGTTGGACTTTCTAAATACTCGTAAAAATGACTAGAAAGTGTTTAGTGTGTGAAAGTTCTAATATTCATATCCCAAATTATCTTTTCATAGGCAAGTAAAGTATTCAGTTGTTCTTTTATTTATATTAAGCCACATGCACACTTTCTGGTCAGATTTACTAAGAATATTGATATTCGTAAGGAGTGCCTAAATGTATTTTTATATAACTTAATTTTTTTGGCAGTAACCATTCAATTTATTGTTGAAATATAAGCATTTTACAAATTAAATTTTTAAAATTAATGTTCAAATTTGGCGCGCGGACGATAGGTCCTCGACAAGGATAGATAGAGTAGAAGCACCGCGTGTGCAACAAAAAAAGAAGATAAACGGAAATAGTTGATATGTGTGCGACAGTTTCCATAGTGATTTACTTATCCACGTAAGTATATTATGATCTAGGCAATAATTTGGCAATAATCACTTGCCAACCAGATGAAAGAGATTGGTGACGTCATTACGGCATTTCGTAAATTACTACATATTATTTTTAGTAATTGTTATTGTCATTTGGTTTGGGGCTATAATTTTATTGACGGACATGGTCCAATGGCAGCGATCAATGTCAAAATTAAAATTTGATTGTTGCCAATTGTTGCTGTAAAACATAATTCACATCCATCAAAGCACATGAGCCCAAATGAAAGCGACAAAAAAAAAGAAATTAACAAATTTTCAAAAGAAAAAAAGCGTATACTAAAGTACTGTATTAATTACAGCATAATACAATTTATATTCAATTACAACTAATCGACTTTTTGTATCTTTACCTTTTACCGTCCACTTTGCTTCGTTAAACACACACCGTTTTATTCTCTTTAAAGCTCTTCGAAACGTTTCATTAAACGAGTAAACAAAACTGCAACAGCATTAAATTAGAATTAAGAATCTAATGTTACGAGTCTGTGAAATGGCGTAGAAAATAGTAAACAGGGCATTTACAGTATTCCTGTTTTAATAGTCTTTCCCCTGTTATCGACCTAATAAGAAGGACTGAAAAATATTTTTTGCATGCATGTAACTACCTCTTCTAACGATTTTATACTGGTATTCGTAGTTTATTGTTATATGAAAACAAAATAAAAAAAAGCTTTATGCTAGGCAGTCTTTTTAAAGTGACTTTGATGACACGCGAGACGAAAAGTGGTCTTCTTCTCGTCCGTTAACTCTCGAAAGTGTATGGTGACATCAGGTCTCAATTGCTTGGATCGTTGTTCTCCATCCTTCTCTATCTTCAGCGGCTATAGAGGCCTCTTGCAGACCGTGACCAATAATTTCTTTGGTTTGGTCCACCCAGCGCGTCGGAGATCTTCCTCTTGGTCGTTTGCCATTATCTTCCCTTGGATTATGATTTTTCCAGTCCATCTGTTCTTCTCGATATGTGCCCGAAGTACCTAGCGGCCCATACATTATCAAACAAATTGCGCAACAAAGCGATGCGCAACGTTGCGTTGCACAAGTGATTCAGCGATCCATACATTATCAAACAAGTTGCGCAACAAAGCGATGCGCAACGTTCCGTTGCACAACTGCATAACCCATGCACTTAGTAAAATTTTGATCAAATTTTTTACTAAAAGTTGTGCATTGTTTGAGAAACAATCATGTCCTCAATTGCCATTGCGTGAATTATTAATTATCGTATATACCCTAGATGATGTCAATGATACCAAAAAACGAAAAAGAAAACAAAGAATTTGGATGAAAGAACTAAAAGAACTAAAATATTGCACAACGAAGCGCAACACACACATATACTACATAACGCGCTGCGCAAACGCCTGTTGCACAAAAGAATTCAAACATTCTTGAAACTTATCAAATTGCGCAACGCATTAAACGTTACCATACATTGGCAACTCGTTGCGCAACAGCCTGTGTTGCGCAATTTGTTTGATAATGTATGGGTCGCTTAAGGTATGACTGGTTTATTTTGGTTGAAAGTCTTGTGTTAGCTTTCAACTGCCTTAGAATTGATACGTTGGTCCGATGTTCTGTGTATGAAATTCGCAGCATTCTTCTGTAGCCCTGTAGGACATTTCGAAAGCATCTATTTTTCGTCTGTTTGTAGTTTTCAGAGTCCATGTCTCTGATGCATAAGAAGTAGCGATAGGAAAGATCAACGTGTTTACTAATTTTAATTTGTTGCGCTGGGATATTGCAGTCTTTCCATATTCGTGTTAGTTTTATAGTCGAGTTACGAGCTATTGCTAGTCTATAGCGTTTGATTTCCTCGTCACAGTCTCCCTTGTTTGTTATGAGGGATCCGAGGCAACTGAACTTTTCAACCACCTCAAAACCATCAATCTCCCTGATGTTAGTAGGATTTCGGTCTATTATCATGACTTCCGTTTTCCTTTTGTTCAGCATAAGGCTATATTCCGCACTGATCTTAATCAACCTTCTCATTATTTGAAGAAGTTGTTCCTCAGAGCATGCAAGAATTAAGGTGTCATCGACATACCTAAGGTGTGCCTCAGGTTTGTGATCTTTTTTTCACTTATCGTTAGTCCGCCTCGCCAGCCTTGTAAGACTTTTCTCATTATGTACTCTCCATAGATGTTGAAGAGTATGGGTGATACTATACAACCTTGTCTCACACCACGTTTCGAACTAAAAGACTTAGCCTTGTTGTTGACTTTGAGTTTTCCGGAGCTGTCTTCGTAAAGATTTTTAAGTAGAAATATACATACACATACATACCGCTATTACTCGCCGACGAGTATTTGACACGCATCAGAAGATGAAAGAAGACGCAAGGCGTTTTCTTTCATGAGCTTTTCGGTGACTGAAAAGTCCGATACGTGATGTTATCTGGCTCTCCAGACATTCAAAAATCTCATTGCTCTGTTGCCTCTTTACTTTTTAGTTGTCGCTCTTAACTGACTTTACAATTCT